TCACAATTAGAGCCCGCTTAGGCAGTCACATAACGACTAAGAGGATAGGATGAAATGGATCCGACGAAGCAAAGGGAGACCGTGGAGCAATAGTAGAATGGCAAACTCGATGACCAAAGGCCCCGGGTTCGAATCTCGGAGGTTCCAACCCTTGAGATTGGGTATGACTGGCTGATCCCGGCTAACAAGCCAGAAATGGTCATTCTGGTCTCCCTTTGCTTCGTCGCATCCATTCCATCCTATCCTCTTAGTCGTTATGTGACTGCCTAAGCGGGCTCTAATTGTGAGCTCCTAATCGAAGCGGAACTTAATTGTTTCTCTACCAGATCGGCGAAGCCCATATGTTCAACATATTTTCTTTCACCCAACACAACTGTTAGTCAGTGGCTCGAAACTGCATTTCTAAATTTGCCCTATCTGCCGTATACGCATGGTCCTTGTGCGTCAAACCTTCGGTCATCTACTTAGCAAAAAAACTGATTATCGTTAGCTAATATAATTTAAGTCGTCTTTTATTGTATATCAAACTTTCTCCAAATTTAATTTGCTACTCGCACTGAATGGCGTTCTAATTCCACATAATAATACATCCTTATCAGTTTGAGAGAGCCTTATTTTCCCAATTTTGTCGGCTTTCATCAATTTCCCCTGCGCTAACTACCCCGCGCATCGAACTTCTTTCAGTGGAACGTCTGTTTTGTCATAGTTGTTGTCACCAACGGAACCCGTGGCATTGGGTTATAAGATTAGTCTTTGAATTTTACGGCGCTCATCCTGTCATACATGACTGGAACCCTAGAAGAGCTCTGGGTTGCAGCCCACGGTCTATATTTTCTGTTTCGAAGCTTGGTACGACATCACCTCTTTGACTTACCCTGTGCTGATTATGCCATTGCTTTCATCTCCACTCGGAGGTCCCCTCGGCCAGCAGAGTTTCGGGGGGCCACAGTGTGTTGCCATCCCCTTTTACGAACAAACTAAACTTCATTTGGGCAGTTTTTCGTTGTATGCTATCCGCGCCGTTCATATCTTAACTCCCCAGCGTCACAAGGCTCCGTAACAGTTGGCATAGACATTCCAAGTCCACTCCCCATCTCTCACCCTTTGGAAAATGTGGTAGGCATAGTCTGTGGCTTGTTGAGCGAAATTACACTACGCCCCCAATTAACGGACAATCCCTGTAAACTCATCGGCTAGTCTGGTCCTCTCATTGCTTTTAATGTTCGATGCCACAGAAGGTCAGCACTCTTGCCGCGACCAAAGTGCACGCCAAGTAGAATTGAATAGCTTACAATAGTGTCCATCAGCCCTCTTCCAACAACTATCGAAGCGGAGAAGGCTTGCTTGCACTTCCAGTGTGCCGCTGTCGATTGCTTTGGAACTGCCAGTTGCCCGAGATACAGTGGACACAAAATAATAGACGGAGGAACAGACTAGATTCCCTGGTTCGGTTTATTAAATCCAGCACCTAAGTTCACTGTATGAACTGCAATGTCTAGCCTCTGCACCTCTTAGATTTCGACGGCTTTTCTGGGGATTTACGGTTGTTGCCAGAACCAACACGTAAGTACGCAATTTTTTCCCATTCGCGGGTCAGGCTTGTTTATCCTATTTTAGCCTGCAATTAC